TCCCCCTTTCTGATGATCCAGAATGTGTTTTAGAGTTTGATGTGTTCTTGCTATCGTTACTTGACTCATGGGGTAGTAGGGAATGACAAATGTGTGGCGAACACCCCAGTCATTTAGAAATGCAGCTAATTTTTGTGAAACATATGAAGGACCATTATCAGTCTTAATTTCTTGGGGGACTCCTAAATAGGAAAATGCTTTGTGAGAAATGCTGGCAAACATGTTCAGCTGTTTCTCCAGTATGTATAGAAGCAAAAACTGCATTATTAAACATCAACAGAGACATGAAGATTCTTAAGTTTCCCAAAAGAAGGGTACTAAGTAGTTTCTGCTATTTTTGCAAGCTCTCCAACCCTTGTGGGTTGGCAGCTCCTGAAGAAAGGATTGGTTGAACAAGCTGACAGTCAGGGCAGGCCCGTACAGTACTCTTTGCTTGTTCAAGGGTAATGCAAAAAATCTCATTTGAGTGCTTACGCATTTTGGTGGAAAAATGCATGACTCAATTTGGCCTGTTCAACAGTGTTAGGCAGTGTAGTTGTAGGAAGCACTGAAGCAGAACTTTCAATGCTTGCTACAACTTCTTCTTCAGATGCTGCTGATGCAAATCCATCAGCTCGTCCATTTCCCTCTGCAATAAAGCCTGGAAGATGGGAGTGGGCTCTAAGGTGAGAAACAAAATAAGGATTACTCCTGTGTGACAGAATTGGACAGAGACAGGTGAGCCAAAGACACAGTTTGTTGTTATTCACATCTTTTAAAACAGATCCTTCAATTTTCTTAATAATATTAGCAACGTATGCTGAATCAGTGATTAGGTTAAAGGGTTCTGGGAAGATCTGAAATGCTCTTCCAACTGCTGCCAATTCAGCAATTTGGGAAGAACCTTCAACTTTTTGAACATCTTGTTTCCAGGTTTTAGTTTCTTTATTTTCACATGTTATTACTGAGTTGTGTGTTTGTCCTGATCCATCAGTAAAGAGAGTATTTGCATCTAAAGGTTCTTCACTGATCGGGGTGTATCTCTGTAGCACAATTTAGCTTTAATCAGTTTGTGTGCTGGAGAGTGGATAGAACAAACACCTGGAAAACTGAGCAAGGCATAGAGCAGGTCTTCAGATTTTTGCATTGCCCAGTCAAAATAGGTTTTGATCAAGGGCAGATAAATAGTTGTGAACTCATGGCCAGATATTGAAAAAAGTCTTGCTCTATCTTTGATAATAATTTGAAATATCATTTCTAAAGATGTGAATATTGTCTTTGGTGACCTGTAAGCAAGAAAAATCCATTCAATTATTAACAAAGGATCTTTTTGAGATGAATCCCACTGAAAAATGAGGCCATACAGTCTCAGTTTTTCTCCCGAAGTCTTTCCAAGTTCATTTACTTGGATTGTCGTTGTTTGCTGTGGGCTTCTGATCTTATTACAGGCATTTATCATTTCAGGCACTGTGGGTTTTTCTTTTCCCAAGGCTTTGATAACTCTTTTGCACTCTGTGTTGGCATTGCTCTCAATAATCTCACGTACCATTATTGGATGAGCTATATCATCACTGCATTGCCTCTCTGCTGCTTTGGAGCACCCAGTCCACAAATGTGGTGAATGGTTCGGACAACTCTTGACTAATCAGGGTATATGCTTTTTCAAAAGTCCCTGCAGGCTGAATTTGCAAGAAAGCTCTGAGAGCCATCTTCTTAATGTCATCTAATACTATTCTGGGCAAATTTACTTGATCTTCGTTTCTATCATCAGGGTGATCACCAGCTAATTTAGACATAGTGAGGGCACAAAGATCTGCATCAGTGCTTTGCCTGTAAGTTGATAACACTTCTGTGAGCATCCTTCTCCATTTGAATTCCCACAGCATATATTGTGAGTCTGTGAGAGTTACGCTGGCAAGATTTTTACAGTCATTTGGTGTGTGTATCCTTCCAGGATACTTTTCAACAGTTTAAAGTATGGGGAACAAATGCCGCTGTCTCTCACTGCTTTTCTTAGTTCTTTAATGTCATGAGATGGGGGCCCATGTCTTGGGACTGTCGGGCTGTTGGCTGACTAATACAGACATGGCTAAGGGACTAAGGCTTTCTTCTCTGCAGATCTGGCATTTCACTTCTTGCCAGTCTGTCAGATGAGGATTGTTAAAGCTGTTCTGGGTGCCCAGTGGCAGCGGCGGCTGTGACACAGGGGAGCTAGGCAGAAGCGGGACGGCTGCCGGACCGGACCAGGCCGGGTGGTGGGGCCACGGCGAATGGATTCAGCAGCAGCGGCCACAGGGCGAGGGCCACAGGGCAGGATGGTGGCCGGGCTGGGTGGTGGAGGCTGTAGTGGGTGTGGCAGCACTGATGGGTGCTGTTCCATGGTGAAAGATGGTGGCGGCGCAGGTGGTGCAGGTGGCAGCAGCTGTAGAGGCGGGGTTTTGTGCCTGTCCTTACTCTCCCCCTCTGTGACTTGAGAAGCTGGGACTGAGGGATGTAGCAAGGCTGTGGCGGTGGGCTGGCATGGGAGACCTGGGGGCGGCAGTGGTGACGGCAGCATTGGTCGTGGAAGCTGTGACTGTGCATGTGTGGATGATGTCACCGTACTGGGGTGACACGGGAGGATGGTGTTCAGGAGCGGGAGCTCAGGACTTGGCAGCTGTGATGATGGCAGTGTAGTGCTGCATGGGATCACGTCGCTGGGCAGCGGTGGTGGCAGGGCTGCTGGCTCCACGGATGCTGCGAAGTGATGGTTGTGGAGGGCCAAGGTGGCGCGGGTGACCCACGGGGGGGGGCCGTGGGTGGGGCTGATAGCTCAGCAGGCGGTTGGGTTGACGCGGAGGCGCAGGCACAGAAGCTCCGGGGCAGGGGGACCGAAGCTGCTACAGCCACTGGGTCAGGGTGTGTCAAGAAAGTCAACACAGCTGTGGCTGGCACGCCGAGCGCTGTAGGAGTAGTGACAGCAGGAGGCAGCAGGATTCCAGAAGGATGGATGAAGACAGGATTGCCGAAACTGCCAGCTCTGTGGCGGGGGTGGAGGGGGCTGGGGTGCAGAGGTGGAAGGGGGTAGGAAATGGGGCTGGGGGGACCGTGATGCCAGAGGTGGGCACGGCCACAGGGGCAGCGGGGCTTGGGATCACGAAGGTGGTGGAATGGGGCGGGACTGCGATGCTGGGGGGAGCTGGAATGGTAGGGGGAGGGCGAAGACAGGGGCTGCTGGGGCAGGGAAAACAGGGGGAGGAATGGTGAAAGCGGGGTTTGTGGGGGCTGGGGCAGAGGGAAGGAGAGCCACTGGGAGCAGGGGGGCGGCAGCAAGGGTCATGTGTTCAGGGGATGGAGACACGCAGGTCGGGGTGGGGTTAAGGGCAGCCACACCAGCTGGGGCTAGGAAGGCAGGCAGCAGGGCAGGAGAAACAGGGGTTGTGGGGCACACATTTCAATGAGCACCCTACAGGCTGGGACCAGCTGTGCAGCCGCCATATCTCAGCGGGAGATATTAAAAAGCTTATTTCCAGCTGTGTCCCAGAAATCTTTGCTAAAGACTGCTCAACGGTCAGCACTTAGGAAGTTGACTAAGGTCCAGGCTAGGAGGTTTTTTAGCTCTTGTTTAGGCAAATTACTTGGGCTGGATTTCAGTAAAAATTTCAGTTGCTTGTATAGCTCTTTGTCTGGGGCTGAATAGCCCTGACCCATAATTAGACCAGTTTGTTACTCACCTGCATGCTGACAAAGCAGGCTCATCCCTCAGAGCTCCGGCGATGGGTGCTGGCCAGGCACCTCGGTCCATGCTCAGGGAGTCACGGGTGTGTCTCCACTCAGCTCTGGTGCGGGTGCTATTTAGTAACACTTGCCCGTTCTCAACCATGCTGCAGAATACTTTTAAAGCTATGGTTTGGATGCTGCTTAGCAATGTTTTTCCATGCTTGAAGGCTGCAGCAGAAAACTTTTTAAAGAGTTCTGGGCGCAGACGTTGCGCAGCAAAGCTCACCCCGTGCTCAACCACGCAGTGGCATCCCCGTAAAGCCCACATGAGACATTGCTTAGCAATGCCTTCCTGTGCTCAAGGGTCCCAGAGAACACTTGGGGTACAGGCATCGCTCAGCAATGGTCGTCCCGTTCTCAACCACATGGCAGATCGCCTCGAAAGCTCAAGTACGAATGCTGCTTAGCAATGGTCGGCCTGTGCCAGAGAGTACCGCAGAACACGTTTACATAGTTCTGGTATTATGGTGCTTAGCAGCAGGAACCGTACTTGACACGGCCTTTAAAGGTGAAAAACCGGTCTTTTTAAGTTCTTGATGAAGAAATCTCCTGCTGATGGAGAAGGTGGAGCAGCTTTTTCACATGTTGAGCACAGTTGCAGGAGTAAAACGGGCACACAGAGGAGACTTGTCTAAGCCAGGTGCTCTTGGGATAAGCAGTTTATTATTTAAGTAGAAGGTGGAAGAGATCCGTTTATGCTGCCAGCCACAGCAGAACCGTGCTCATTGAGGGAGAGTGGAAAGAGGGGGCCAAGAGCATGAGAGCAGTAGGCAATTAATGGGGTAGAGAGAGAAAGGCAAGAGGGGGGAAAATAAGAGCGCTAAAGAGAGGTTAAGAGAGCGAAGTTCTTGTTACAATATATTATATTTTTTTCTATGGTGAATATTCTAATTCCCAGTAACCAACCAGTACATGATACACATTCTATAGAATTTACATATAGCCTATAAGAACTACCACATTATCGTACAGTGTTACATTTTAAACTCTAAAAGCTACTCTTCAAATTCTTCTCTTACAGTTTTGACCTTTGAATTCACTGTTAGCGGAAAGGTATTGTTCAATCAACAGGGATTCTCCTTCAGCTGGTTAGGCTATTGTTCTTTGGTCATACAGTAACTAGCACTCAGTATCCTATAACTTAAAGTTTTCATTTCTGTTTCAATTCTGTGTTTCATATTTTCAGAAACTTTTGCTAAACAATCATATTTATAAGGTATCACTGTTTCATCTTCTCCAACAGCTCTGCCCCAGTGTGGTCACTACGGATCATCCAGCTGGATCCTCCCATGGGGGATGGAGCTGGAGCAGCACATGAAGATCTTCCCACACTCGAGGCACTCACAGGGCTTCCCTTACTGGTGCCTCTGTTGGTGTCAGGTCAAGGCTGGGATGTCTGAGCAGCTCTTCCCACACTGGGGAGACTTGTAGGGCCTCTCTCCAGTGTGGATGCACCGGTGAACAGTGAGGTTGGACTTTTGATTGAAGCCCTTCTCGCAGACGGGGCAGCGGAAGGGCCTCTCCTCTGTGTGAATCCGCTCATGTCTGAGGACACTATAGCTGGTCTGAAACCTCTTCCCACACTGGGGACACTCGTAGGGCCTCTCCCCAGTGTGGATGCGCTGGTGGATGGTGAGTTTGGAGTTTTGCTTGAAGCCCTTCCCGCAGTCAGGGCAGTAGAAGAGCTTCTCCTCTGTGTGTATTTGCTCATGGGTGAGGAGATCGGAGCTGGTCTGAAACCTCTTCCCACACTCAGGACACTTGTAGGGCCTCTCCCCATTGTGGATGCGCTGGTGTTTCCTCAGATTGGAGCTCCACCCATAGCTCTTCCCACATTCCAAGCAGGTGTAGGGCCGTTCCCCTGTGTGGATCACCTGGTGTGTCATCAGGGCAGAGATATCTCTGAAGCTCTTCCCACACTGCCCACACTCATAGGGTCGTTCCCCACTGTGGATCCTCTGGTGTTCCCTCAGGTGGGAGCTGTAGCTGAAGCTCTTCCCACATTCCTCACACTCATAGGGTCGTTCCCCCGTGTGGATCCTCTGGTGTTTCCACAGGTTGGAGTTCCGGCTGAAGCTCTTCCCACATTCCCCACACTTGTAGGGCTTTTCCCCAGTGTGGATCACCTGGTGCTGGATCAGGTGGGAGCTGTAGCTGAAATCCTTCCCACATTCCAAGCACTTGTGGGGCTTTTCCCTGCCATGAGGCTTCTCCCCCACCTCTGAGCTCCGGCTGGATCTCTGGCCGTGTTCCTGGCACAGAGGGGATCTTTCCTCCTTGCAGCTTCCTGGCTTGGGTTTGCAGCCCCTCCTTGTGTGGGATCTCTGGGGCTTTGCCTTCTCCTCCATCTGGACAAAGCTTGGGATAGAAAAATCCTGGTTTTGGAGAAAAAACAAGAGGATAGCGCCGTGGACTGGGGGTTCCTCCTTTCCCAAGTTCATCTCAAGACGTCCTTAGGTATCTTATGTCTATGAGAACCTCCAAAACACTAACATTTAGCGCAAAAATCCTCCAAACATTAAGACACAGATCAAAAACTTCCAAAACACCAAGATTCAGCCAAAACCTACTCTGAAATAGAAAGATTCAGACCTTGCAAAACACTAAAGCACCAATATTTAGCCGAATAAAGCTCAGAAACAACAAGATACAGCCCTTCGAAAATTGTGGAACCCCCTCCCCAGTCACCTGCTCCATGTGGCGGGGGGCAATGCTCCTGGGGCTGGGAGAGCTGCAGATAGAGGGAGGAGTGGAACCTTGTGCTGCTTCCTCTTCCTTCTTCTACTTCTCCTCCCGTGTCCCTACTCTTCATCACAGTCCTCTTCTACTATTCCTCCTTACCTCACACACGCCCACCTTCTCCTCCCAAAGGCATCGTTTGACCATTTTGTTCCTCAACCGTGCTTCTCCTTCCCTTCTCCTCCTGCCCCCAGGCCCAGCACCCACTGCCGCCTCCCTCTTCCCCCCCAGTCCCACAGCATCCCACCGCAGGGGCACGGATGGAGCTGGGCCAGCTCGGCCTGGGGCAGCGCTGGGCTCTCGGCCGCTTCCGCCCGCACTCGCTCCCCACTGCAGCCGCTCCCGCCACCACAGCGCGGGGGGGCCCGGCCTTGGCGCTCCCCCCTCCCACCTCCCC